TCTTTTCCGCTGCTAACAATAATGGGGACATGTGATCATAATTTGCTTGAAAATTTCGAGCACCATGATTCAATAAAAATTGAATTAGTTCAAGTGATGTACTACCTACAGCAATGTAGAGTGGTGAACGTCCATCATCTGTCGATTCATTCACATCACAACCTAATTCATCAACAAGATAAGTTGTCATGTTTAAATCTTCATTATAAACACTTGCAATAAGATTTGTTTCTTGATTTATTTTAGCAATATGTATATCAGCATCATTCTCATTCAAATAACGAGCCATATCAATATTACCATTGCAACAAGCACAACGAAATGCTGTTGAATTCGTTTTAGTTGTGTGATTAACTCGAGCTCCATGTTCGACAAGTAATTTGACGATTTTTAAATTATCAATGGCAGCTGCTGCCCATAAAACGGTCACATTTTGATACATTAATAAACTTTGATCCTTTTCAAGGAGTTGTATATTATTTAGCACTTCTAGATCGAGTCCAGAATAATTAAGCAATATTTGTATCATGTCTTCGGACTTATTTAAACAAGCAATCATAAGTAAAGTGCATTTTTGTTGATCTGGTTCATCATATATTCGATTTAAGTAAATCTCAAGATTGCATATTGTCGATAAATGACTTTCGAGTGCTTTGACATCTCCTTGACGAATAATCGATAATAACAGGTTACTCACTTCATTCTCGGAGTCATCAATGGATTTCATCGCCATTGTAAACGCATACAAATGAAAAATGGTGTTTTACCTTGTATTTATATTCACACGTGTAAGTTTTATTTCTTGGATTTTTCTTCCGTTCTTCTGCTTTCTTACGCTCTGTAAGATGAATCATAGTGCACACAGAAGGAAAAAAAAACATTTTAATCAAATAGAACAATAAAAAAAATTTTGTAACCAGCTTTGCTTTTTCTAAAGTATTTGAACGTCAAATACATGTTGAAGATTAAAGCTGGCATCATTTTCTACAAAATATCTATGCATTAATACAAATTAATTTGACAATTTGAATCAAACAAAGGTCATTTGATTTTTCGATAATATTAGTGGTAAGTGTTCATGGGCTTTCACCTAATATCTGATCTAGTCTGTAAAATGATTCGAAATGTGACCTTCAAAAGAACGAATTCTGATCTACTTTACTGGAAAAAAGGTTAATGGCGAAGTAGAAATGTTTTACAAAAAATAGATGTTGCATTGTGAACTTCCTTCCTGTTGAAAATATTCAGTCAACATCTAATAGCTAACTCAATGTTTCCTCAAAAATGTTTTATAAGTCTGCTTCGGTGAAAATATGTTATTATTAGCTACAGAAGCTGCGCAAAAAAGAATTGGTGTTTATACACAAAATGTAATGTACTGTTCAGATCTATAAATCTAATGGAAGAAGAAAAATACTTAAGTCTGTCCTAGTCTACAAACTATGCGTCTTGGATGAACTTTTGCTTTTTCAAATCTTGTGGCTCCACCACCTATGTTTATTGAACACGAGTTGGTAGTAAATAAAAAATGATGAAGTCATTCATTTGCTTTAAAAACGTAGCAAAAAACAATTTGCTTACTTTCTTGTTACTGGAATTCGCCCTAGTAAAAAAAAAAAAAAGATAATTTTTTTTAAACAGTTTTAATTTAGTAAAAACAAACACATCTCGATGTAACTGTTGTTTACTTTACATATACATGAGCACGATACTTTGATGTTGTCATCTTCCAATTTTTTTCTTTGTTGTTGCTATGTGAGCTGTTACTCATCGAATGCAGTAGAGAGTATAGAGTTTTTTTTAAACATTCTCATATTTGAGGCTCTCTCGTGCGTTCACGATTGTGAATAAAGAAAATTCTTTCTTTTTTACCGACAGCGACTGATGTTGCATGAAACATTTCTTCGTTAAAGTATTATAAAATTTCCTCATGTTGTAATAATGAAAAAAAGTTGATATTTTAGAATCTATTTAAAAGATTATGTCTAAAATTCGACGAAAAAAAATCAATCATTTCTGGAAAAAATGTAAAGAAACATCGACAATACTTATCAACATCAAATAAGCAAATGACGAATATAGTCAAAATAAAGAAAAATCGTAAACGAAATATATTTTCAGATGAGCCTATTTCAAATTAAAAATTAAAAATAGAAACAAATTTTAAATACAATCCTGAAGGTATCAATATAATTTGGCTTGATATAAAAAAAAGTGACTATCTAAATCGAAAAGCTAATTTATATTTTATTGAAAATTATTTGATAATGTTGATTCCTATATTGATTATCGCTTATCATTGGATATAAGCAATAGTAAAATTAAATTATTTCTTGTTACGTCTGGTGCGCACGGTAGAAAAATCATTTCACTTGTTTATGAACAAACACAAATTGTTTATATATATATATCTACTGTGCAAATAAACAAAATCATGAAGAATGAACAAAAATATATACAAATAAAATTAAAGGTATTTTTAATGATAAACAAGAATTAATATCTCAATTAAATGGTGATATTTTATTTAATTCAAAAATAACTCCAATGTCGATTGCACCTCTTCTTCATATTAATGAGAGAGAGATGTCTTCAAGAAATTTGAATAAAGAACAAGCATTATTTATGTGGTATCAATTATTAATTGAAATATTAAAACGAATGTCGCATAGAATATTCTGATAATGAAAGAGAATTAGATAAAATACAAGAATTTTCTGATACTTATCATTCAGATAATGTTATTGAATGGTATACACGAGATACATTTCTTTATCGTTTATTAAATAAAGCATTGAGAACACAAGATATTCTTACCATATATATAAATTTCGCTTTGTTGTCGTTGATCTTCATAATCGTCTAGTAAATTTACATACTGAATATATTCAATCGTTCAAAACAGAAAATGAATCTCAATCAGAATTTATTGTATTTCGTGGACAAGAATTACGAAATCTAAAAGATAATGTTAATGGTCGAATTGCCATGAACAGTTTGCTTTCTACAAGTACATTGAGTAATACTGCATTTGGTTTTGCTGGTAATAGAATAAGACGTCCATTAATTGAATCAGTTTTCTTTAAAATTCATTGTCCATTGAAATAATATCCAATAAAACCATTTACTAATATACAAAATTATAGTTATACAAAAACAGAAAATGAAGTATTATTTACACTAGGAGCAATATTTCAAATAAATTTTGTTGAAGAACTTACAGATTCTATTTGGCATGTTAAACTTACTTTATGTGATAATAATGAAATTGATTTAAATCTTAACGAATTAATTGATAATATAAAAAGTGATATCGTTGATATACCAGATACTTCTTCTTTAGCTAAAATTCTTATCGAAATAAATGAACTTGATAAAGCTAAATATCTTCTCAATTTAATTTTAAAAGATTTACTATTAGATCATTGTGATAGAATAAGTATTAAAAATAATATTGGTACTATACATTTTACAAATGGAAATTATGTAGAAGCTTTGAAATGTTACAAACAAG